CTCAGGCCGCAGGCTGTTCTCTCTGCTGAACCTCTCCCCTGCCTCCCCCCCCCCCTTGGTAATTCGGGGGAACTCTGGGCCCCCCCCATTCACACATCTCCTCCTGCAGGAAGTCCACCAGGCCCACCCCGCTCTCCAGGCCTTGCCCATACCTATGCCCAGCGCCACCTCCATCCTCGCACAGCTGCTGCCCCCACTAGAGGCCGCTCCCGGAAGGCCTCCCTGTCCCCGGAGCCCCGCAGCTCAGGACCCGAAACCTGGGGGAGCCAAGGACCAGAATGAGGGGAAGAAGGGGCGTCAGGATTACCTAGTGTTTCCTGGAAGGCCTCGCTTCCTTCCTCCGAGCGGGCGCTCATTGTGGCCAGCTTAGACAACGATTGCGAGTGTCCTGTAGAGGCGACACAGGACCCACCCCTTCAGGCCGAGGGTGGGGAGGAGGTGGGGAGGAGGTGGGCAATGAGCCGGGGACTAGGAATGAGAAGGCCACCCCATGGCCAGCTCTGGCCTCTCTCTGACCGGCAATTCCTCCAGGGGATGGGAGGGGGCACCTCGCAGGCCCCCCCACACACACTCCTCTCAACCGCCCTCCCCTTGCATTCAGTCTTGCATCTTGGCTCTGACTCTGGCCTCTGACGGGGGTAGGCCCCCTAGGCTTTCTTTTTTAAAATATATATATATTTGTATTGATTTCAGAGAGGAAAGGGAGAGAGAGATAGAAACATCGATGATGAGAGATGATCATTGATCCGCTGCCTCCTGCACACCCCACACTGGATATCGGACCCGCAACCCGGGCATATGCCCTGACAGGGAATCGAACCGTGATCTCCTGGTTCATAGGTCGAGGCTCAACCGCTGAGCCAGCCAGTCGGGCGGTCCCCGAGGCTCTCACACCTCCGAGGCGGGCTGTCTGGGGGAGGAATCACAGAGGAAGGGGGACCCGGTGCAGGGCGAGGCCCAGTCCCTACCTGCTGGAATGCCTAACCTGTCCATCCTGGGAGCTCCGAGCTCAGTGTTGTGGTCCGGTTACTGGGGAGATAAGAGGCCATGGGGCCTGAGGACAGCGGCGGGGGCGGGACCAGGACCAGAGGGGAGGTCGTGGGAGGGGAAACTGGAAGGCGTGGCCGAGGAGGCGGGAGAAGACGAGCTGGGATCTTCGAGGCTTTAAACAGGAGCCCGGCGAGGGGCGGCACCAGCAGGCGTTGAGGGGCGGGGCTGGGAGGCGTTGAGGGGCGGGGCTGGGAGGTTTTGAGGGGCGGGGCTGGGATGGGATGAGGGGCGGGGCTGGGAGGTGTTGAGGGGCGGGGCGAGGTGGGTTGAGGGGCGGGGCTGGGATGGGATGAGGGGCGGGGCTGGCAGGCTTTGAGGGGCGGGGCGGGGAGGTGTTGAGGGGCGGGAATGGGAGGTGTTGAGGGGCGGGGCTGGGAGGCGTTGAGGGGCGGGAATGGAAGGTGTTGAGGGGCGGGGCGGGGAGGTGTTCAGGGGCGGGGCTGGGAGGCGTTGAGAGGCGGGGCGAGGTCGGTTGAGAGGCGGGGCGAGGTGGGTTGAGGGGCGGGGCTGGCAGGCTTTGAGGGGCGGGGCGGGGAGGTGTTGAGAGGCGGGGCGAGGTGGGTTGAGGGGCGGGGCTGGGATGGGGCTGGGATGGGTTGAGGGGCGGGGCTGGCAGGCTTTGAGGGGCGGGGCGGGGAGGTGTTGAGGGACGTAGCCGCGAGGGTTGAGGCGGTGAGGGGTGGGACAGGGTACCTGAGGAGGGCGGGGCGTCAGGGGCCAGCTAGGGGCGTGCCTGGAAGAACCAACGAGGAGCCTGGTGAGAGGACGCTGAAAAGGACTCCGGTTCCCCAGACCTGATGGGACGGGGCTAAGCGGCTGGCGCTCTGGCTGGACCTGTGGGTGGTCGGAGTGGCCAACCTGCGAGCACGGGCCTGAGAAGCGGGGGTGCGGGGGGTGTAGCCGGGAGTGGGAGGCAGGAGCTGAAAGAGCCTGCGATGGCAGGCCTGAGAGGGAAACGTCTGGAAGGCTCTGCACCAGCCCGAGAGAAGCGTGTCTTAAACTAAGACCAAGTTATTCTGAGGATTCATTAGCAGGGAGGCGGGGCCGCTCACGACCTCAGGTCCTCGCAGAGGCTCACTACGCATGCGCGGCCCAGGGCCTCCAGAGAAGCCGCCACAAATCCTTTGCTGCCCAGAGTCCGCCCACTGAGACGGAAGTGGGCGTGGCCTCGCGCGCCGCGCCAGCCCCCGTTCTCCGTCCACGCCCCTCGTAGGGCACGCCCCCTCGCTTCGCTGGGCACGCCCCCTCAGCGGACTGCTGCTACCCACGTGGGCCTCCCCAGAGCGGGCTGGCAGTGGGCGAAGCGCCCTGCAAGCTGGGTGTGCCTGAAGCCTGCGGTTTCCTGTGGGAGGAAGCGGCTCGCGGGCACTCAGCTCAGCTCGCAGCGTTGGAGGCCCAGGAAGGGGAGATCCCTCCACCGCTCTCAGATCCTCTGACTCTTCCCCTTGCACAGGGCCCTAACACGGGGGACCCCCTGAACAGCCCCTGGATACCAAGTACCATGCTGATACCATTCAGGGAACTTGATTCAGAGTCGTACCCCGCTATTCTCCACCTCCCCCGCTCAAATTTCCGTCTCCCTAACCCCTGGTCCCTGGACTCCTCCCCAGACCTGTGGTCCAGCCCCTTGGCCCCCTTTGCCTGCACTCCCTGAAAAGCATGTGACCCTCTAGCTCCCAGTGTTTCCCTTAGTGACCCAGACTTTCTAACTTGCTTGAGGTTCTGAGTTCAGACCCCCCAGTTACTCTCCTTCTGAAAGGCAGATTTAAGACTACCTACCTATTCCCTAACCCGAGGGACCCTCATTTTGTACTCCAACTTTTTCGTCTTGGGATCCAATGATGTGCCCCTTTCCCAGATTCTCAAGACCTTGATCTAAGGTCCCCCAGCACTGAATCCACTCAGGGCCCCAATACCTGGTATAACTAACACATACAACAGTGCTTACGATGTGCCAGGCACTACTCTAAAAACTACCCTATGGTGCACTCACTATTATCCCCATTTGACAGATAGAAAAACTGAGGCATAGAGAGGTTATTAGGAACTTGCCCAAAATCACAGCTAGTGAGTAAAGCATCTGGGATTTGAAGCCAGCCAGTGTGTTTCTAGAGTCTGTGCTGTACTGGTACCCCAGCTTCCAAGTCTCCCCAAGTACCCACCCAATTGCTGAACTGCCCTCAGGGAGCCCACATGACCAATCTCGCTCCCTCCCCCAGCTCTGGCCCCATCAGATACCCATTCATGCTATCGCCCAGTTTCCTTCCGATGCAGGGGCCCTAAATTTCAGTTTTCCAGCTCTCGGTTTCTTATCAGAACCCCTGTCCCTCACTATTCACCACCACCCAACTCTGCTAAGAGACCCAGCTACATTGAAACCATCCCACCCACCCAAATGCAATAATCCAAGAAATAATCCAAGAATAATAGTTAACGTTAAACGGCTGGTACTGCACTTCCTTTAAAACCTTCCCATGACTTCTCATTGCGCTTAGGATGAAAATCCAAGCTCCTCCCCTAGTCTTCAAGGGGCCTCTTTGATTTCCCTTCCTACCCTCCCTCCAGCTCCCTATATCCCAGACACACTGGCCCTTCTGTCTGCTCCCCAAACAACCTGAGTTTGTTCTCAAGAGCCTCTGCGCTTGCTCTCCGCCCAGCATTCAAATGGCTCCTGTCTTCGGGTCTCAGCTCAGATGTCGCCTCGTTGGAGAGGCCTGGCCTGATCACCCTGTTCAAAGTAGGTTCCCCTCACACTGTCCTTACCTCCGTCACTCTGTTCTGTTTCCTTCATTGTCTTTATCACGGTCTGAGATGTCTCTGGTGTAGTGATGTTTTCTCTTGATTGTCTGTCTCCCTCCCCTAGGAAGGTAAGCCCACAGTAATAGTCGGCTCACATCTGTGTGTCGTTGTTTTATTTTTCATTAACTCCTGGTTCATAATTGATATTCAATAAATGTTTGATGGAGAAAGGAACGAACGTGTTAGGTGTGTTAATGTACTGGTATCACCTTATTCGTCTAGAACACGCATCGGACTTATCATTCTCAGGATTAGTATATTGTCAGTATTATTAGTGTTCCTATTCCCACAGATGAGGAAGCTGAGGCTCAGAGAGTGGATGCAATTAGTCAAGGCCTTCCCCCACCCCCGCCCCCCAAGGCAGGAAATGGTGGTCTTAACTTCCACTCCCTGCTCCCTCCCACAGTTTCCCATCCCTGTCCCCCCCAACCATCCCCCCCCCCCCCGCCCCCATGGTGCCAAGTCCACCAGCCCTCAGCCCACTCCGCACTGCAGGAATCTGGGCTCCTCCCTCAGGCTCCCATCCCTCGGAAGTATCCAGTCCTAAGTCCCATCAAGAAAAACAGACAGCCCTGACTGGTTTGGCTCAGTGGATAGAGCGTCGGCCTGCGGACTGAGGGGTCCCGGGTTCTATTCCTGTCAAGGGCATGTACCTTGGTTGCGGGAACATCCCCAGTGGGGAGTGTGCAGGAGGCAGCTGATGGATGTTTCTCTCTCATCGATGTTTCTAACTCTCTATCCCGCTCCCTTCCTCTCTGTAAAAAATCAATAAAATATATTTTAAAAAAAGAAAAGAAAAGCAGACATCCGGTCCCAGGTCCCAGGTCCCAGGTCCCAGGTCCCAGGTCCCAGGACAAGACCCAGAGCGGAGGCCTGAGAGTCTGGCCCTCCCACCCCTGACGCCCCACCCCAGGGCCCCCGCTCCTCTCCACTCCCTCCAAGGACTCCTCATCTCAACCCTGGGAGGGAGCCCCAACAGATTCGCATGTGGGGGCAGTGGGCGGGCTCAGAGAATGAAGAACCAGTGCCTGGGCCCTCCCTCTGGCGGCAAACCTCAGCTGGGTGCGGTGCGGGTGGGTATAAAAGGGTCGGTATATATATTGAGAGGAGCAGAGGAAGGGAAACCCGGAGAGTGAGGAGAGAGAGAGGGAAAAGGTGTAGGCAGTGAGGACAGGGGAGAAAGGGCGAGAGAGAGAAAGAAAGAGAGAAAGGGTTCTAGGGTTGGAGGGGAGACGGACGGAGAGAGCCAGAGGGGAGAGCGAGGGAGGGAGGAAGGCGGCGAGGGAGGCGGGGGCCCCGAGAGGGTGGAAGGAGGCAGGCGAAGGGCGGGGCACGGAGGCCCAAGCGAGGGACAGACTCCAACTCTGACTTTTTCCGCCGCGCGGGGTAAGTTTCCAGTCCGTTATCTGGACTGGGATTCCTTTATTTACTCGGGAGTGCAGCCGTTTGGGAAGGACACCCCCATGGAGATACTTTGAATTTCGGAAATGATCTCTTAGCCCTGGGGGTGCAGATTCTGAAAGGGGTGGGGCCCAGCAAGGTTTGGGGCGGGGGGGGGGGGGGGGGTTTCCCAGCAGAGCCCTCCACCGGATAATGTCCTGCAATTTTTCCCCCAAGGATGTCCACTCTCCCCGGGGGACCCCGAGAGCGGGACTTTGCCTGAGAACACCCCAGGTCTGGGCCACCTCCGGGCCCCCTCCCCTTTCTGGGCACTGCGTGGTGCTGGTGGGAGGCTGGTTCCCTGTTCTCAGGCCTCTCTCTCTCCCCAAACACAGATCCCGTCCATTTCCCCAACGGGGTGCCCAGCAGGCACCAGTCTGGCAGCAGGGTGGGGCGGGGACCTCGTGGGCACAGCCAGGGCCTGGGGTTTCCCTGGTACTCGGAGGCTGGAGGGTGGGATGAGTCACCGATGATTCACCCGGAACCCAGAGACGGAGAGGGGTGGGGTGAGTCGAGGATGCCTGTCTCTGGGGGCAGCTTCTGCTGCGTCCGGAGGGGCTGCAACTTGAACGTTCCTAGCCCTGACCCGGGACGGGGCCCTGGGGACTCGGAGTGAAGCACAGTGCTAGTTCCGATCATTCCTGGACTCAAGAAGTCCATCCCTGGCCCTCTCCGGCCCCTGGGGGATTCAGGATTCCGGGCTCCCAGCCTCACACCCCGGAGTCTGGAACCAGCCCCTTTCTCCACGAGGATTTGGGCATCTCACCCTCCCCTGTGCCAACCTCCTGAATCCACCATCTCCTGACTTCCCCTACCCCAGGCTTCCACTGCAGCCATGTCATTCCTCCTGCTGGTGGTCTCGGCCCTGCACATCCTCATTCTCATCCTGCTTTTCGTGGCCACTCTGGACAAGGTAAGCCTGCTCTCCTGCAGACGCCGCCACACCCCTTCCTCTAAAGGCGCCCGCCCCCTTCCCCCAGCCTCTGCCTCCGATGCCGCCACCCCCACCCCCTTCCCCTTTCTGACTAAATCCACGTTTTGCCCCAGTTCAGCCCCTTCTCGGCACCACGCCCTTGTCCTAACCCTGCCCACAGGCTCCCTGGCCCCGCCCACTTTCCCATTCCCGCCCTTGTTTCTCTGCCCATACCAGTCCTGGTGGACCCTCCCCGGGAAGGAGTCCCTGAATCTCTGGTCTGACTGCACGTGGATCAGTCACAACGATACGTGGCTCTGCCGGGATGTCAGCGAGAACGGTGAGGGGTAGCGGGGGCTGGTCTGCAAAGGGGAGGGGTCACCCCAAGTCTCTTCCCCGGGACCAAGTCTCAAACGCGCCAAGGTTGGAGTGGGCAGGTCTGGCTCCCAGTGCCCAGTGAGGGGGGCCGATGTAGGGCCCCCCTATCGCTATGGTAGGGAGCAACATGCTCGTGTTCTAAAGCGGACAAGCTAAAAGCCCCCCTCCCTTATGATTCAGAGGTTTAAGAAATTGGGAGAATGTTCCCAGGATTCTGAAAAGCTCGGACTATGTTTCCAAAGTTCTAAGGACCATATTGAGTTTTTATTTATTTTTTTATGTATTTTATTGATTTTTCTCAGAGAGAAAGAGAGAAGGATAGTTAGAAACATCCATCAGCTGCCTCCTGCACACCCCCTACTGGGGATGTGCCCGCAACCCAGGTACATGCCTTTGACCGGAATCGAAGCTGGGACCTTTCAGTCCACAGGCCGACGCTCTATCCACTGAGCCAAACCGGTCAGGGCCCCATTGAGTTTTTAGAGGTGGGGCTGAATCCTTCCCAGGCTCTAACGGAGGGGGGCAGTGGCAGATGCACCTGAGTTCTAAAGGGGCAATTTGCATCTATCAAAATTTCTAAGTCAGAAGAAGGTAAAAGATGAAATGAGTTTCCCCTAAGAGTGAAGCGAGAATTTCTGTTCTCTTGACTTAGATCCAGTGTTGCACTGGAGGTAGCCAATGCGACAAGGCAAGAGCCTTCCTAATGCCGCGACCCTTTAATACAGTTCCTCATGTGGTGGTGACCCCCAACCATAACATTATTTTCGTGGCTACTTCATCACTGTAATGTTGCTACGGTTATGAATCGTCATGTAAAAATCTGATCTGCAGGATGTATTTTCATTGCTGGCGACCCACAGGTTGAGAACCCCTGGGAGTAAAGCTGTTTCTATTCCCAGTGGACATGTTTCTGTAGAAAACCCTAAAGACTCTGCAAAGCAGCTTCTAAAACTGATCGGGGGGGGGGGGGGGGTTAGCAAAGCGATAGGAATGAAGGTTGTGACTGTGTCCTTCCCACGTATCCAAGCCTGCATGGCTCTAAATTGGGGGAGGGAAGGGGGTTGTTGGAGACGAGGAGCAAGCCGTGGAGCTGGAACGCCGGGCCTCCGTGACCCCCCTCATCTCCTCCTCATTGCAGCCTGGCTGAAGGCCGTCCAGGCCCTCATGGTGCTCTCCCTCATCCTCTGCTGCCTGTCCTTCATCCTCTTCATGTTCCAACTCTACACCATGCGGCGAGGAGGGCTCTTCTATGCCACTGGCTTCTGCCAGCTGTGCACCAGTAAGCACTGGTCCCTGGGAACTGAGGGGGAGGGAGGGGGCCAATCAGGGTGCTGGGGGCCCCGAGAATGGACAACTGGTGAAAGGAGACGATTCCCAGCAGCCCGAGGACCATGTGAGGTGCCCCCCGTGGCATCGCTCTGCCCCCAGGGACTGGCAGCCTTCGGCGACTCCATGGTGGTCTGTGTCGCTGAGTCATGGGGGAGCTGGCACTTGGGGCTTCAAGGAGCCAGGGCTGAGGAAGGTGGTGGGCAGATCATTTAAATCCCCGAGATGGAGGTGGGGGGAATCAGGGATAGGTGACTGATTAATATCCCAGAACTCTGAGTCATCATAGTGGTCTTGTAACTATAATGGCAGCCAGCTGCTGTTTCTGGTGGACCTACCGTGTATCAGACACTTCAGGGAGTTTTATGTACTTTTCCATTTTTTTTAATTTTTTTTTTTTTTTACTTGAAGTGCAAAGGGCTAAATTAATCATAGTCCTCAGTTTGGGGAACATTCTCTTCCTATGTTCCCGCAAAGCCCCTCTTGTTTTATTAATGCACTCTGTGTGCTTGGCTGGTAGACCTTCAACAATATTCCTTGACTGGATGGGTGAGGAGCTATCACCGACCCATGTTTATGGATAAGGAGACGCAGAGATGAAAGCGCCCAAGGCCGGTCTGCAGCAGCCTGGTGCGCAGAGCTGGGGGAGAAACCACAACTCCCAGCAGGCAGCGGTGCTGCCCGCTTGCCCTCCGGCGGCTCCTTCGCCCCATGGGTTGCTGGGATATGCAGTCTTCTTGGTTCCCGTCTCCCCACAGGCCTGGCAGTGTTCACGGGGGCCCTGATCTACGCCATTCACGTGAACGAGATCCTGTCCAAGCACCCGCCTGGGGGCAGCTTCGGCTACTGCTTCGCCCTGGCCTGGGTGGCCTTCCCCCTCGCCCTGGCCAGCGGCATCATCTACATCCACCTTCGGAAGCGGGAGTGAGCGCTGAGCGTCGCCTTGCGGCCCTGCCCACTCCCGGCCCCTTCGCCTCGCCCGCCTCCCGAGAATAAAACCGTTTAACCGCCCGCCTTTGCTCCTTCCTTCCTCCTCCCGGGCCCGGGCTGCTCAGGCCTGAGCTCTCCTGAGCCTGGGGCAGCCCGCCCCCCGCAGTGCCGCCTTAGAACGTCCCGCTCCTGCCCCCTCGGGCCCCTCCAAACTCGGACACAGGAGCCCGAGGTCCCAAGGCCACGGGCCCTGCCATCTCAAGTCTCAGGATCCCCCCCGAGTGGGACCGCCAGACACTGGCTTCCGGGGAAGAACCGAGTCTGGGTCCCCACCCCCTCCCGGGTGCACGGGGCTCTCTCTCCGCTGGGCAGGCCTGTGTGCTGTTCTAGGCTGTTGGTCTCGCTCCCTGGCGTCCCCTGGGGGACACGTTTCCATTCCCCTCTTAGAACCCAGTCTTCCCCCTTTGCAACCCACCGCCTCCTCTTGCCCCTCATCCCCAAACGCTCTCTGCCCGGACACCTTAGTGAGAATTAGATGGCACCGCTGCACACTGCCCACTCACCCGGAGTCTGAGACATGATTTATTCCGCTGGGAGAGGGAAATGATAGACCAACAAATATCGCACAGGCCCCTGCAGGAGGGAAGGTCCGGCGAGGTAGTTTGTGTAGAAAGGGGAGCGCAGGGCGGGGAAGGCACCTGAGGTTGGGGGGCCTGCATGGAATCGCATCCTGGTGAGGGCGGGTCCGCCTGGCCCACGGCTCCTGCTGGCCCCCGGCTCCCCCCTCAGCCTGGGCGAGCTGATGAGCCGTGGGCCCGGCGGCCGGCCTGCCTTAGAAGTCGTGCGACTGATGGAAAGCTCGGGTTTCTTTTAGGAATTCTGATCGTTTCCATGCAGCGACAACTGGCCGCCCCCAAACTGAGCGCCCAGACGCTGTCACCGGCAGTGCGGCGCTGCTGGCCGCGGGCTGGGCTCCGCCGTGGTGAGCGTGGCGGGCGCTGTGCCCGGAGCGGGCTAAAAGGACAATGACATGTGGCCTCGGGGGGGGGGGGGGGGCGCGGCCGGAGGGGCGCGCAGGTGGTCAGTAGGGTTAGCAGCTGTGATCGGCTGGCTCCCTCCTCAGCCGAACCCCCATTTGGTTGTTTACAGCTGGAGGGGGGATGCAGGCTGTCTTGATTGGGGGCTTTGTTTTAGGGATAAAGTGTAACATTGGGAACTAGAGCCGCCATGCATCGTAGCTGTGATGAGCAGTTTGTCATGAGGAGGCGGGGCTTAGCTCCTAACCAGGTGGCGGCGCGGAGAGGCTTCTCCCCGGTAGTCACTGCTGGGCGGGGCCTGCGGGGGACGTGCCCGTCGCCAACGGGTCTAGTTTGGGGAACCCCGAAGGCGGGTACGTCCCCACGCTCTCCGTCAGGGCTTGCAGGTGGCCCAGAGCCCGGGCTCCGTTGAAGGTCACGGCACAGCCCGTCTGGGTCAGGAGCCAGTTCTCTACCTCCGACTGGAGCCAGCGGGAGGTCTCTGTAGGGGAGAGGCGGGAGTTGTGAGGAGCCGGGGGGACCTGGAAGGCGGGACGGGCAAGGCCAGGAAGAGGAAGGGCCTGGGCTTGGGAGGGGCGAGGAGGGGAGCGGGGCCAGGCCTGGGAGGCTCGGCTCTGGAGCCAGATGTGGGGACGAGCCAGGAGGGGTGGGGGCTCTTGTTCGAAAGGGAAGGGACGGGGTCTCTTGTAGGGAAAGTGGAGGCTCGTATAGGAAGGCGCACGCGGAGGGGTGGGGGGGCGGGGAGGGGGGACATGCCACCCAGAGGCTGAGGTCAGGAAAAAACACGTCCATCAAGACTGTTAACTGGGTTCAGGGGTCCCCTCTGAGGGCCGGTGTCACCTCGGAATGGGTCAGGCGACCGTTTGGAGCAGGGGGTGGGGGCGGGCAGCGTGGGGACGGTGCCTCACGGGGGCAGGTCCTTGGGATCCAGGGGAGTCGCGACGACCGTGTAGTGACCGTGTGGAGGCCGTTTCAGGGGGGAAGGGGACTGGGTGGGAGGGGGCATCCCCCGGTAGGGTCCTACCTTCAGGCGGGCCGCTCGCGCCCCCTGGCCGCCGGGCCAGGAAGGTGTGCGCCAGCAGCGCCTCCTTGACGTGCTCGTCCTGCGCGCGCAGGGCCAGCGCGCTGAGCAGCTCCGAGTTGTTGGACGTGCTGCGGTAGTACAGCATGTGCGCCAGCTCCAGCGCGTGCACGCTGCGCTGCTGCCCGAACATCTGCAGGCGGGACAGCTGCAGCTCGGCCACCGGGAGGGGCAGGGCCGCGCTCGGACCCGTGCACACCCCCCCTCCGTCACTCTCGCTGGTAGGGCCCTTTGGGCGGCCTCCCGAGCCCTCCCCAGATCTGCTGGTGCAGGTCCCCAGGACCAGGGCCCAACTATTTGTATTTTTTAATACATGTTTATTGATTTCAGAGAGGAAGGGGGAGGGAGATATAGAAACATCAATGAGACAGTATCATTGATCGGCTGCCTCCTGCATGACCCCCCTACAGGGATCAATCCCGCAACCCCAGCATGTGCCTTTGGAATCGAACCCAGGACCCTCCAGTCCACAGGCCAACGCTCTATCCACTGAGCCAAACCAGCGAGGGCCGGCTATTTGTATTTTTAATCCACTTGCTCTCAAGCCGGTGACTCTGAGGTCGCCAACAATATTTTGCAGCAGCGGAATCATGCATTAATGGATTGGTTCAAGGATTTTCAGTCGACACAGGCTTTAGCCTTGGAACTTTTTGCTACAATTATTTAAGTCCTTATCTTTTAGACACATACTAAAGTATTTGCAGACGACATGCTAGGATTTGCTTCCAAATAATTCAGTAGTGAGAGAGCGGGGATCTTTAGGTGAAACGCGACTGACTATTGCTAATTGTAGATGCTGGATGCTGGCTACATGGGAGCTCGTCAGATAATTTTATTTCTGCATTTTAAAAAACTTTTCCATAATTTTTTTTTAAAAAAGGTTTAAAATAGTAACTGGTAAAGAGAAGTGCTAACAGACAAGAGTACTCAAAGAATAGCCCTGGCTGGGTGGTTCATTGGTTGGAGCATCCTCCCATAAACCAAAAAGGTTGCAGGTTCAATTCCTGGTCAGGTCACATACCTAGATTTCAGGTTCGATCCCCAGTTCGGGGCACGTGTACCTAAGGCAACTGATCAATGTTTCTCTTTCCCTTCCTTCCTCTCTCTCTAATAATAAATGAAAACATACTCTTGGCTCTGGCCAGTGTGGCTCGCTGGTTACAGCATCAGCCACACACTAAAGGGTCTCAGATTTGATTTGCAGTCAAGGGCATGTACCTGGTTTGCAGGTTCAATGCTGGGCCCTGGTTGGGGTACGTTTGGGAGGCAACCAATTGATGTGTCTCTCTCTCACATCTATGTTTCTCTCTCTCTTTTTCTCTCTCTCCTTCCCTCCATTCCTCCCTCCCTTCCACTCTCTCTAAAAAAGGGGACAACAGCCCTAGCAGGTTTGGCTTAGTGGATAGAGCATCGGCCTGGGGACTGAAGGGTCCCAGGTTTGATTCTGGTCAAGGGCACATGCCCAAGTTGTGGTCTCAATCCCCAGTAGGGGGCGTGCAGGAGGCAGTCGATCAATGATTCTCTCATTGATGTTTCTTTCTCTCTCTCTCTCTCCCTCTCCCTTCCTCTCTGAAATCAATAAAAATATTTTTAAAAATGGAGACAATATCGTTGGGTAAGGATTAACAGCAACAAAAAAGAAAGAAAAGAAAACATATCCTTGGGTGAGGATTTAAAAAACAATATTCGAAGCGCAAGCCGCTTTGAGGGGAGAAGAAGAGAAGGGCAGGCCTGGGCCCAGCTGTCCGCTCGCTGCACCCGTCCCCATTGGTCAACCCCTCCTTGCCTGGACTCCTTCCCCAGCCCTGATGCCCCCCCGGAGGGGAAGGAGAGCCCACCCATGCCCGGGGCTCACACTGGAACCTCCCACCAAACTCCTCCGTTCATCCACAAAACAGGCTCCAGGCTGCAGGGTCCGGCAGGCTGCAGGCCTTGAAATGAGTCTGAACTCTGCCCCCTACCGGCTGTGGCCCCACTGGGCTACGATCTAAGACAGGCAGCGCTATCTGTGAAATGAGGCAGATGACAGGAAGTGCTCAGGAAGTCAAAACTCAGTTAATGAAACCCTTGGCACAGAGCCAGGGCCCAGAGAAGCCTTTACACATTAGCTACGACTGGATCTCCATCCACACTGGGCTGGGGCCGCCTTTTAGGTGCAAGTCTCTGCCCCCACCGAGCGCTGCCCGCCTGAGGCCGAGGCCCAAGATAAAATGCCTGGAGCTGACCCAGCCCTGCAAAACCGCTGGCCTGACCTGGCCTGGCCGGCGCTGACCGACGCACGTGATGACGGCTGAGCGCGGACTGTGCTCTCTTCCTGCAAGCCCTGCAGTCGGCTTATGTCCCTGCATTGGAACGAATCGCCATTCCGACGGCTGAAGGGAGATGCAGGAATCGGGGACCCGCTGACATGAAAACACATCGGGTTCTGTGTCTGCTCCTGCCGAGCCGAGGGTGCGGAATTCTCACAGGTTAACCAGCCGGTCACGCTCCTCTCCGCACACAGATGCAACCTGGCCTCTCCCTGGAGACCTCTCCACCTGCACCTGCATGTGCCCTTCACACTCACCGCCGCCCACACTGAGGAAGGGGTCTCCCCTCACCGAACCCTCCCTCCCTCCTGGCCTAACCCCCCCTCCTCCCCTGGGGTCCATATCTGGGGTAACCCCACCATCTACCCAGTCATAGGCCAGACCTGGCTCCGTCCTTACCCACCCCCACCAGCCTGTCAGTCCCCAGCCCGGTCCTCCTGTCTTCTCTTTGCCGTTCCTTCCCCTCCAACCTCCTCCCTGTCCTCAGACTCCCCATTCCAGTCTGTCCCTGCACAGCTCGAGGCGACCCTGCTCCTCCCCTGCTCCCGGCGCCTCCCATGGCTCCCCAGTGCCCCCAGGGCCGGAGCTCCTGGACCTGGCCCCTGCGAATTGCTCCCACTCGCCTTCCACTCCTCCCCTCTGAGCACAGCCCCGTGTGGAACAAACCAGTTAACCCCGAGCATGCCTGCTCTCAGGCCTCCAGATCAGGCCAAGCACCTCTGGGCCATTCTTAGAAAACATTCCTGCCTCAATGTCAATGTTCAGGACGGACATCGCTTCCCACAGATGAGCAGCTTCGTGCCTGGGTTCCTGAAGGACCCACTTCTACCTCCATCAGGTACGTGGCAGGGTGTCGGGGTGCCCGGCACTGCCCCCTCCAGGGCAGAACCCGCCTGTTGTGTCTCTGGGGCACCAGCTCGGCTGCCTCCCCAGGCTGCCCCCAGGCTGCTCTGTGCTGCGCTGAGACCCACAGAGAACCAGGGTATGGCGTGGCCCACAGGAGCACCACCCTGCCTTGACGTGGAGGAAAGCTCTCTAGAGCCTCTGCGCTGAGGGTAATGGGTGGGCGGGGCTGGTCAGCCTAGCGAAGGGGGAAAGGCCATGTCAGTAGGAGGAACAGCATATGCAAAGGGAGAGAAGGGAGGGGCGGCGCTACCAGCATATTCTGGCGGAGCTGAAGCGTGGAATGGTGCTGGGGAGCCAGGGTCCCTGGTGCTAGGTTGTGAGCATGGCAGCAGGGCCAGCCTGGGGCCATCAGCACGGACTGGAGGAGACCAGGGAGGCTGGGAAGAGGGTCTGTGCTGGGGCTGGAACAGAGGAGAGGAGCCGGCACAGAGACTCGGGGAGCAGGAAGGAGAGCCTGGGACGGATGGGTTGGAGGCAGGGCCAGGGCAACTTCAGGGGTCTAGCCAGTGAGTGGGGGGGCAACAGGGCCATCTGCAGGTGGAGAACCAGGAGAAGCAGCAGGAAGGGGCACTGCTCCGCCTGGTCCCTGGTCAAGCTGGCTATGCAGGGCTGAGCACAGAGCACCTGATCGAGGAGACAGGAGAGCTGCTGTGGGAACTAGGAAGTGGGTGAGCGCTTTCGGGCCAGAGAAAGCGGGCGCGCCTCCTGCAGCAAAACTGGCCTCTCAGGTGTGTGATCTGAGCGCCTGTCCCGGGATGGGGACTCCAGAAAGGGAGGGGGCTTTGGAATCACAGATGCTGAGCCCAGTGGGGGTGGGGGGTGCACATGGGAAGGGTTTGGGCATGCCCAGGGAGCAGGTGGGGACAGGAGCTTGGGGACCACAATCTAGGAGTGACCTGCAGGAGGGAACAAGTGGGTAGAGAGAGGGGGCAGCTGGGCTGAGGTGCAGCGGGCCAGCATGTAGGGCTTGGAGGCTCAGCCGGAGGACGGGGGGTGGGTTGGGGGGGGGGGGCATTGAACAGATACACTAAACTAACTGGTGAGCCCGGCTCGTGTGGCTCAGTGGTTGACTGCCGACCTATGAGCCATGAGGTCATGGTTCGATTCCCGGTCAGGCACATGCCCCTGGTTATGGGCTGGATCCCCGGTAGAGGGCATGTGGGATGCGGACAATTGGTTCTCTCTCATCACTGATGTTTCTATCTCTCTCTCTCTCCCTCTCCCTTCCTCTTTGAAATCAATAAAAATATATATTTTTAAAATAGTTAATTAATTAACTAGTGAACTGGGTTTTAAACTGGGCCCTTCAGAGACCCAGGGTCAGACACTCGCTCATGCTTACAACCCTCCCATGGCTCCCGCGGCCTGACGATAAAACCCAGGGCTCTACCTGGGCATCCAAGGCCCCCGCCACTTCCGGGGTCTCCCTTCCCCCCTCTGCACGCTGGGCCGAGCCCTGTGCCTTCCCACAAACCATGCTCGCCCAGCCCCTTCTCCACCAGGCCCAACCCTCCCTTTCAAAGCGTTCCCTGGGCCTGGGGATTGCTCCCTGCGCCCTCCCCCAGCCCTGCCCCCTCTCGGCCGGCCGCATAGCTGGCTGTTATCTGCGGAATTTATTGCCAGTCTTCCTAACAGCCCGCTGGGATGGCTGCAAACAGCTTGGAAACCAATGAACCGATGAGACGAGAGAGAGGCGAGCGGGTACAACAGCTGCCTCCTGCCAGTGCACACTCCCAGGGCTGGTGCCGGCCCGGCCCAGGGGAGAATCGGTACCAGGCAGCCCTGGGGCCCCCTGGGCATCGAGGCAGGACACAGGGCTCAGCCATCAGAGCTCAAGTTGGGTGTCAAACCCCCACTTGTCCTCTGGCCACAGACCCTCAGATGGTGAGCGACCTGCACAACTGAACAGCCGCCCTGCACTCGCTCACACGTGGCCCAAGCGAGCAGGGAGCGCGTTAAATATAGTGTCCTGGGCCCCAGGCCCACAGATTCCAATCCAGTCATTTGGGCCGGAGCCCGAAAGGCTCATTAATAACAGCTCCCACCCGCCGGCGTGGCTCAGCTGGCTGACCATCATCCCAGGCACCAGGAGGCTGCCAGTTTGATTCCCAGGCAGGGCACATGCCCGGGGTTGTGAGCTCAGTCCCCAATGTTTCTCTCTCTCTCTCCTTCTCCCTCTCTCTCTAAAATCAATTTTAAAAAGAAAAAGCATATTCAAAAAATAAAAATGACACAGTTCCCCTGGCCCTGGCTGGGCAGCTCACAGTTGGTTAGAGCATCGTCTAGATACGCCAAGGTTGCAGGTTCCATCTCAGGTCAGGGTGCGTACAAGAATCACCCAATGGCCCTGACTGGTTTGGCTCAGTGGATAGAGCGTCAGCCTGCGGACTGAAGGGTCCCGGGTTCGATTCCAGTCAAAGGCATGTACCTGGGTTGCGGGCACATCCCCAGTAGAGAGTGTGCAGGAGGCAGCTGATCGATGTTTCTCTCTCATCGATGTTTCTAACTATCCCTCCCCCTTCCTCTCTGTAAAAAATCAATAATATATATATATATATATATATATATATATATAGAGAGAGAGAGAGAGAGAGAGAGAGAGAGAGAGAGAGAGAGAGAATCAACCAATGAATGCATAGATCAGTGGAACAAGTCGATGTGGCTCTCTCTCTCAAATCAATAAAAGAAAAAGAAAAATTGTCTATTTCTCAAACAGCTGCCCTGGCGGTAGTGACACCTGGCCAGAATGGGAGAGCCACACTCAGGACACAGTTTCCCAGGGAGTAGTGATGATAACAGCGGCAACAGCCAGCTCTCAGACAGCACCTTCTGTGCTGGGTGTCACGCTCTGTTCTCAGCACCGTGCGCATTCACTAATTTAACCCCACGGCAACCCTAGGGGCTAGTCCTGCTGACATCCCCACCCTGCAGATGCGGGAGCGGGTGCACAGAGAGGTTAAGCGTCTCATTCAAGGTCACACAGCTAGACGTCGGTAGAGCCCAATTCAAACCCAGGCCGTCTGGTTCTAAAACACACAACCTTCGCCCCTTTGCTAAGTGCCTCTCAGTGAGTCGCTGGGAACACAACTGTAGCACCTACCGCAGGCCAGGCGTGGTGCCCAGTGCTCTTTGTGGATTCGCTCATTTAACCCTCATACCAAGCCTGTGAGGTGGGTCTCACTATTATCCCCATTTTCCAGATGAGGAAACTGGAGGACAGAGATCAAGAAACCTGCCCAAGGTTGCAGCGAGTAAATAAGGTAGAGAAGGAAGGGAGGAGAGGAGAGGAGGGGAGGGAAGAGGGGAAGAGAAGAGAGGAGGGGAGGACATGGGAGGGAAGGAGAGGAGAGGGGAGGAGAGGAGGGGAGGAGAGGAGGGGAGGGAAGGGAAAGGGAGGGGAGGGAAGGGAAGGGAAGGGAAGGGAAGGGAAGGGAAGGGAAGGGAAGGGAAGGGAAGGGAAGGGAAGGGAAGGGAAGGGAAGGGAAGGGGCACCCCATGAGGCAGGAATAGTACATGAAATAAGCGAAAACATAGGGTGTCCTGGCCTTCCGGCGGAATGCCGAGGACCCAGGAGGCGCGGCCGGCGGCCGGCTTACCTTGGTGGCCCGCAGGCCCATGAAGGCAGCGAAGAACAGCAGCAGCAGGGAGGTGCCCATCTTCAGGTCGGTGAGCACCACCATGCCCACGTTGACGAAGACCGCCACGCCCGAGACCACCAGGAAGAGGTTGAGCAGTGTGCGCTGCAGGGCGGACGTGCGCACCTTCAGCTCCGGCAGCAGCTGCTCCAGGCCCTCCAGGGGCGTGTCCTTGAAGCTCTTCAGCACCAGGTGCCCCCGCTTCGTGCGGGCCGCTAGCACCACCCGCTTAAAGTATCTCCTGGCGACAGAGATGGAGGCGGCGGTCAGCACTGCCCAGGGGGCCCCTCCAGCCCAGGGCACTCGCTCGGCTCTGCCATCACAGTCATTTTAAAGGCCACTGAAGAGCCCTGGCTGATTTGGCTCAGTGGATAGAGTGTCAGCCTGCGGATTGAAAGGTCCCGGGTTCGATTCTCTGGGTTGCAGGCTTGAGCCCCAATAGAGGGCATGCAGGAGGCAGCCGATCGATGATTCTCTCTCATCATTGATGTTTCTATCTCCCTCTCCCTCTCTTTTTTTTTTTAATATATATTAATTGACTTTTTACAGAGAGGAAGGGAGAGGGATAGAGAGCCAGAAACATCGATGAGAGAGAAACATCCATCAGCTGCCTCCTGCACACCTCCCCCTGGAGATGTGCCCACAACCAAGGTACATGCCCCTGACCAAAATCGAACCCGGGACCCTTGAGTCCGCAGGCCGACGCTCTATCCACTGAGCCAAACCGGTTACGGCCCTTCCTCTCTAAAATCAATAAAAATATGTTTTAAAAAATATTTAAAAATAAATAAATAAAGGCCACGGAACGGTGGTGGGAGGGAAGTCAGCTCTGAGCTCAGTGCCCAGCAACGGGGGATCGGGCACGTCATACAGTCCCTACTCCCGGGCACGGGGTGCTGCCGATGGTATGCACTTGATAAGAGGAGCTGAGAAAAAGGCTTTCGTTGAGTGCATTTTCAATGTCCGATCCCACATCTCTGGCCGTGGCTGCTCGGAGCCAGGCAGGGCTGCAAGGCTCTGGAGAGGCAACAGATTGAGGCCGTCAGGGCCCGTGTGCGCAGCGGAGAGACACAGTGAAGCTCCCGCTGCAAGTCTAAGGATCTGCTTGGACGAGTCCTGAAAGTGGAATTACTGGTTCAGGGGATGTAAGGGGTTCTTTGTCCTTGGCTTTGGCTTTGGTTTGGTGTTCTGGATTCGTGACCATATTTGATAAACGCATTTCCAGAAAGTCTGGGTCACGGACCGGCCCAGCGGCCGACTGCGAGAGTCTGGCTGCCCTGACTTGCTCTGTGTTGGAATATCCGGTTAGAAAGATGACGTTATCAGCACCCCGCCCGTGGCCTTCCCGGCCCGAGCCCAGCTCGCGCATCTGGAAAACGGGAGAGGTGTCCCTGCCCTTTCTCTTCCCCTGCGAAGTCTAGTTCCTCCTTTCCCTGGGAAGAACAGCAGCATTTCCCGGCCGGCGTGGCTCAGTGGTTGAGCGTGGACCCCTGAACCAGGAAGTCACAGTTCAATTCCCGGCCAGGGCACAGGCTCGGATTGCGGGCTTGGTCCCAGTGTGGGGGGTGCAGGAGGCAGCCGATCGATGATTCTCTCTCATCAGTGATGTTTCTCTCTCTCCCTCTCCCCCCCGAAATTAATAAAAATATTTTTTTAAAAAGAAGCTGCATTTGGATGACCCACCCCTCCCCCTTTCTCGACTTCCCACCGGGCCCAGACCTCCAAACCCAGCCGCTGACCTATCAGTCCCCTCTCAGCTCTAACCTCGCTCCCTCCCGCTGCAGCTGGGGGACAAGGGCTGCCTCACCTCTCCGCAGGGGTGGCCTTGAAGAAGTAGTAACGCTTGGAGCCCACGCTGGACATACGAGGCATCTTCCCGACTCTCTGGCCCAGGGCCCAGAACTGCATGTAGATGTACTGGTCCAAGTTGATCGTCACCTGCCAAGGGGGCCAGGGGAAGCAAGTAGCTGAGCATGGGCTGGAGCCTGAGTGCAGGGTGCTGACAGGAGATGTCTCTCCCGACCCCCACCCCACCCCCACCCCCGTGATTTCAGCCCCTCCCCCAGGCCTGTCATCCCCCATTGCCCGGGCAGGGCAGCCATGCATGGTCACTGCTGTGAGACACTGCACAAGGGCGTGCCATCTCAGATGGCACCATTCACGTGACAGTCACCGCCGCCACATTCCTTTGAACCTAAGATGCCACTGGCTTTAAGCCATTCCATTATTATTATTTTTAAAATATATTTTTATTGATTTCAGAGAGGAAGGGAGAGGGAGAGAGAGATAGAAACCTCCATGATGAGAGAGAATCATTGGCTGTCTGCCTCCTGTACGCCCCCTGCTGGGGACTGAGCCCTCAACCTGGGCATGTGCCCTTGACTGGACTCAAACCCGGGACCCTTCAGTCTGTAGGCCGATGCTCTATCCACCGATCGAGGGCTACTCCCTTATTTTATAAAGCAATTAAAGGAGAAGATATATTGCCAATTAAACTATATCACACCACCACGTATAAGTCACATCCTAATTTCAGAGACAAGAAAATCTTTTTAAAAAATACATCTTAAAGCCCCAAAATGTGGAACTTGGGAAACTTTTAGCATTTTCATGATAATGTTGTTGACTTTGAGGATGAGCGTTCTGTCTTATTTATTACTACAACGTTCTGGCAGCTGGTAATAAAGTCTTGGGTTCTAAGAAGATCCGTATCTTATGCTACTTTCCCAACAGGCGGCAGTGAAGTGGCCTGAGAAAGAGGCGTCTTTCTCTAATTCACCAAACGGGCCACGTGGGCAAGTGTCCTGGGCCCAGGACTCCAACTCCCCGCGGCGTCTGCCTCCCCCAAAGGCCCCACCCCTGCCCCAAGGCCCCCTGGGCGTGTGGTCCTCCCTGGAAGACAGGTACCTGGACCTCGTCCTGAGGGTGGTGGACCACGAGAGCATAGGCCAGGGTGTCCTCGGAGAGCGGGGAGAAGTTGGCCTGGGCCAGCAGGGGCTCCAGCGCCAGCAGCACCTCCTGCTCATTGGACAGGCGCTGGGGGTCCGTGAGCGAAGGCTGGTCCAGGGTCTCCCTGTCCGGGTTGATGGGGTCATATAAGGCCTGAGGAGAGAGTCAGAGAGAAGAGAAACAGGCGAGGTCACAGTGTGAGGGATCATGGGTAAACTTCAGGATGGTCCTGGCCCCATCCTTTAAATGACGGGGTGCCCCAGGGCTTGACTCTGGGCCACTCTTCCCCCTCTCTCTCTCTCCCTCCAAGCCTGCCCTCAGTGGCCTCGCCATCCCCATGCCTTCAAACGCCTTCTCTTGCGGATAACCGCCCACTCACATCTCCAGCCTGGACCTCTCTCCACGCTCCAGGCCTAATGCCCAATTCCAGTGCGTGAGCATGCATTCTCCTGTTCTCCCACAGGAATCAAAGCAAAGGTGGACACAGACTGCCCAAATAAACTACATTTCCCAGCCTCCCTGAGGCAAGGGGTGGCCAGGGGGACGAAGGCCATAGAATGTGAGCAGAATTGATGGGTGCACCTTCCCCCTCAATTCTTGCCCCCCTGCCCCGGACCGTCCCCTCTTTTCTGGTTCTGCTAGCTTAGAACACTGTCCTACCTATGACCCCGTTTTGACCACACAGAGATGAAGACAATGCCCTAAGGCAGCAGTTCTCAACCTGTGGGTCGCGACCCCTTGGGGGTCAAATGACCCTTTCACAGGGGTCGCCTAAGACCATCGGAAAACACATAGATAATTACATATTGTTTTTGTGATGAATCACTATGCTCTCATTATGTTCAATTTGTAACAATGAAAATACATCCTGCAGATCAGATATTTACATGACGATTCATAACAGTAGCAACATGACAGCTATGAAGTAGCCACGAAAATAATGTTATGGTTGGGGGTCACCACAACATGAGGAACTGTATTAAAGGGTCGCGGCATTAGGAAGGCTGAGAACCACTGCCCTAAGGGCTGGCAGAGCAACAAAATGGAAGGAACCCGGGTCCCAGCATAAACTTGTGTGGAACAAGGTGACCTCTGCACCCTGGCCCGTTTACCACAGGCTGTTCAGTGGGAGGGAAATGATCCCCCACCTCCTTTGAGCCATCTGATTGTGGGGTCTGCTTGTCACAGCAGCTCAGCCTCTATATGAACTGATACAAACTCCCTACTTGACAATGGCTTTTGGATGTCACAATCACCTCGAATCCAATACGCCTACCATCCCCCCCTCCATTCCCAAACTTTCAATAAAACCACCATTTTGGACTTCCTGTCTCAAACCGGTTCCCCTCAATCACCCCTGGCTTCTTCCCTGAGTGCCAGACTCTTCGATTCGGTGATCTCTTTGACCTCTCCGCCTGGGTGCACCGTGGCACATACCCAGTGGGAGGAATGACCTGGGCAATGGTTTGGAGGGGGGAAGGCCCAGGGCCTCAGGAACAACTGAGCAGGGAGCCGGGTGATGCCGGGAGAGTCATGCCCAGCTAATCCTCTTCGGAACTAACTCCCGGGGCCGGGACGCGCTGGCGGAGGACCGGACCCGAGGCCAGAGCCAAGGCCTGTGTCTGAGTCCTTCAGCCCCGGCTGACGGAGCAGGCCCCAGAGGCCACATCGAGGCTCGAGGAGTGACCTTGAGGAATCCCGTTCCCAGTGCCAAGCTGCAGTTTGAGAGCGAGGGAACCTCAGAGGTGGAGGAGAAAGAACTCTATGTTCTCCAAGCATCCCCTGCGAGCCAGATTCTTCTCTGGGAATTTCACGTCTACCAGCTTCAAGCCAGAAGCCTGGGTGTCGCAGGTGACCCTGGCTGCTCTCTCCCCTCGTACAGTACCCCCCCCCCCCCATCCCACCTCCCTGCGGATCACCACTTCGCCCAGCTCTCTCTTCCCCGTCCGCACCACCAGAGCCTCCTCCTGCCTGGGTGAGTCCAGCCTTCCCAGTGGCCTCCCCAGCCCTCTGCCCCGCTGCCCTGTCCCTCTGTTCCCTACTCAGCAGCCGGGGCGAGCTTATCAAGCGATCACAGTAACACCTGAGAACGGCGCACGCTGGGCAGCACTATTTGAAGAACGTTACACACTCTCACCACGTGAGGATGGTGCTTCCGTTAGCCTCACTTAGATGTGGAAACTGAGGCACCGAGAGATGAAGGAAGTGCCAAGTTCACAGAGCCAGGAGGTGATGTATCAGGAATTACACATCCAACTACGTCACTCTCCTGCCAGAACCCTTCCCGGGCTCCTGCCACCCTCACAGGACAGGCTCTGCACTGGGGCCTGCAAGCCCCCCTGTGCTCCCTCTGCACCGGCCACCCTGGCTTTCCTTCCTCCAGGCCCAGGGACTCGGCACGCGCTGTTGGGAGACTCCCCCTGGCCCCCTCCCTGCCTCCTTCCCTTTCACGACTGAATCCTCCTCCTCCCGTGTCCCAGCTCCCTCCTCTCTCTCTAGAAGCTTCCCTCTCCTGCCTGTGGCTGGGCGGGGCATGCACTGTACACAGGCGCCAGGCCTAAGAGGCACCTTCGCAGATGCTGTCGCCCTGACATTCATCCTTTCGCATGGAACTTCCCGCAACAGAACGCCCTGCAGTGACGGGAACACCTGGATCTGCACCCCCATTCGGTGGCCCCTGGTCCCAGGAGGCTGGCTGCCGGGCACTTAAACGTGACGAACGCGACTGAAGAACAGAATTCTAAAACCTTATTTACTGTCAATGATTCAAATGTAAACCGCCACACGTGGAGAGGGACCATCCTGTGAGACTGCCTCCGGCCAGGGAAAAGGGGGCCTTTTCCTAATTCGCACTCAGGCCCGGGACCGAGGCCAAGGCCAGCTTTGTCACCCGCTCTCCGGACGGTGCCCTTCGAGCTCACAGCCTGAACGTGTCCGTTCACTGGGAAAGAGCGTCTGGTTCACGGCGGCTGCCACCTGGCACCGGGTGTCCCCCAAACATCTGCTGAAAGAATGAAAGATGTCCCTGGGGCCCGGTCAGTGTGGTTCAGTGGCTGAGCATCCACTTCTGAACCAGGAGGTCACGGTTCAATTCCCGGTCGGGGCACATGCACTAGGGGTGGGTTTGGTCCCCACTGGGGGGCATGCAGGAAGCAGCCAGTCCATGATTCTCTCGCATCATGGATGTTTCTATCTCCCTCTCCCTCTCCCTTCCTCTCTGAAATCAATAAAAATATTTATTTAAATAAAAAAGTAAAACACCCCCGTGTCTTTGTGGCGATTGTGGTTTTCTATCCCCCAGCATCCCTTGGGGCCTCGAACCCCATCCACCTCCTGACGACCCCAGGTTGGTCTCCAGCCCAGACGTCTTTCCTGAGCTCCAGACTCACCCAGCAAGAGCCTGCTCAGCACTTCCCCACAGATGGCCACCCGCCTCCGGATGCTTCCGCGTGGATACCCAGCGGCGTCCTCTCAAACTCACTGTGGACTCCGCGTCCCAAACTGGGGCCCCGAAACTCCTCCCATACCTGCTGCTCCCGCCAGCCTCCCCAGCTCAGAAGAGGACAGATCCATCCTTCTAGGTCAGCAGTTCTCAACCTGTGGGTCGCGACCCCTTTGGCGGTCGAATGACCCTTTCACAGGAGTCACCTAAGACCATTGGAAAACACATACATAATGACATATTGTTTTTGTGATGAATCACTATGCTTTAATTATGTTCAATTTGTAACAATGGAAATACATCCTGCAGATCAGATATTTACATTACGATTCATAACAGTAGCAAACTTACAGTTATGAAGTAGCAACGAAAATAATTTTATGGTTGGGGGCCACCACAACATGAGGAGCTGTATTAAAGGGTCGCGGCATTAGGAAGATTGAGAACCACTGCTCTAGGTGCTCAGGCCCAAAGTCTGGGGTCATCCTGGACACCCCTCTTTCTCACACATTCAACGCACCAGCAAATCCGGAGCCATCACGTTCAGAACAGATCCAGAATCCAACCACTTCTCAACCCTTGTAGGAGCCACCCATACACGCTGGACCCGTGAGGTGGCCGCAGCACTGGGCTCCCAGCTCCCATCCTCCATCCTCCATCCCGTCGATACCCCACATGGTCAGCAGAGGGCGCCTGCTGTAATCTGAGTCCACTCACGTCCCTCTTCAGTTTAGAGCCCTCCTGTGGCTTCCACCTCACTCCGTGTCCTCACCTGTGTCCCACAAGGCCCTGCAGGTCGGGCCCCACTCCCCTCCCTGCCCTCATCTCCAGGCCTGCCTGCCTCACTCACTCAGCTTTAGCCCCGCCCACGTCATTGCTGTTCCTCCTGCACTCCTGCCTCAGGGCCTTTGCACTTACTGTTTCTGCAGCTCTCCACATGGCTCACTCTTGCCTCCTTCAGGTCTCTGCTCAAACTCCAGCCCCTCAGGGAGGCCTTCCCTCATCACCACACCTAAAATTGCAAAACACTTCTGCTTTCTTTTTCTCTTTCATTACTTACAAGATTTAGACAAAAATAAAATACAGGACACCAAGTTAAATCTGATTTGCAGATCAATGGCAAATAATTTTTCAGTGTAAGTGTGTCTCATGCAATATTCGATATGCATGGGACATAATTATACTTAAAAAATCGTTCATAGCTTTTCTGAAATTCAACTGTAACTGGGTAGAGAGTTGAATGGTGTCCCCTAAAAATTTATGCCCGCTCAGAACCTTAGAGCATGTTCCATTTGGATAGAGTTTTTGCGGGTATAATTAGGATAAGGAGTGAGATGAGATCAGACTGGATTGAGGCGGATCCTAAATCCAATGAGGGTGTCCTTATAGGAGACAGAAAAGGACATGGAGAGGCACAGAGAAGAAGACGATGTGAAGATAGCGATGGAGTGATGTGTCCACAAGCCAAGGGATGCCAGCAGCCACTGATATCCCCCTCAGAGCCACCGGAAGAAACTCACTCCGCCCACACCTTCTGGACTCCTGAATGCGGACAGAATGCATTTCTGTTGTTTTAAGCCGCCAGTTCACAGCAGCAGGCACAAATGAATAAATGGGGCTCCCTGTACTTGACCCGGCAACCCTGCCCTCAGCACTCAGCATCTGCACATATTCTCCTTCTTTCCTTTGTCGCGGGCCTGTCCCCCTCACTAGAACATGACCAAATGAGGCAGATACACACCTCTGTCAGGCTCGCTGCTGTGTCCTGGGGCCTTGGACCATTTGGGGGACACAGTGGGTGCTCAATAAATATATACTGAGACAATTCAATGCGTGAATGAGGGAGGGAGAGGAACAGAGAGCGGTCACCTGCCAAGGTCACCTGCAGGACTAGTGAACAACAAAGCCGGCTTTGGAACCGCTGTGGACCTGCCACGTTTATTCTTTTCCTGTCCCAGGCTGCTTCCTCAAGGGGCTTAGGTCACCAACAACTGGTCCCCCAACCCCCATGCCCCTCTGCTGCTTCCACCCGCCCCTCTCAGTACCTGTCAGAAACCTCCTGCCCTCCCTGGCCGGTGTGGCTCAGTTGGCTGGGCGTTGTCCTGTGCCCCGAAAGGTTGCCAGTTGGGTTCCTGGTCAGGGCACATGCCCAGGTTGTGGGCTCGACCCCTGGTACGGGGCGTGCAGGAGGCAGCTGATGGATGTTTCGTTTTCACATCGATGTTTCTCTTTCTCTCCCTCTCTCTAAAAATCAAATTTTTTTTAAAAAAAAAAATCTTAAAATCTCCTGCTTCAGTGGGAATATGCATCTTCACTGATTATTCTTTCTATGTTTCTATATAAATGTTCATATAATATTTATTAAAATAACAACAATAGCCCCAGCTGGTTTGGCTCAGTGGGTAGAGCGTCGGTCTGCGGAGTGAAGGGTCCCAGGTCCGATTCCAGTCAGGGGCACATGCCTGGGTTTCGGCCTTGATCCCCAGTAGGGGGTGTTCAGGAGGCAGCGGATCAATGATTCTCTCTCATCACTGATGTTTCTATCTCTCTCTCCCTCTTCCTTCCGCTCTGAAATCAATAAAAATATATTTTTAAAAAGAAGTCATTAAAAAAAATAAAATGAAATAACCACCATAAAAACAAAAACCCTGACTCCAGAGGCCACAAGTGCCCAGGGAAGAGCTTGGAGGCGGGTGGACTGGGCGTCAATCCTGGCTCTGCCGCTGGTGAACTGTGCAATCATGGGCACATCCTGGGCCCGCTCAGGGCCTTGGTTTCTGCCTCTGCACATGGGGCTGACGGCAGGAGGAGGTGCCGCAGGAGGGAGTCAATGAGCCCAGCACAGAGTGAGTGAGTGCTCAGCAGGGAGGGCCACTGTCCGCTGCTGCTGTTCAAAGCAGAGAGGAGACCTGTAGGAGGGCGCGGTGTGCAGTGAAGGGTTAACTCCGCAGGCCTGGGTTGCACAAATCCTGCACATTTCAAACAAAAGACTGGCCCCTGAAGGGCTCCTGGGAGAGAACCTTGGTATGTCCTGCCTGATGAAAGTGTCTTAGTTAAGCACACCTGGCCAGTGTGGCTCAGTTAGTTGAACATCGTCCAGTGCACCAGGAGGTCACCAGTTCAATTCCTGGTCAGGGCACATGCCTGGGTTGTGGGATCCATCCCCAATAGGGGCATGCAGAAAGTAGCTGATCCATGTTTCTATCACCTTTTCCTTCCTCTCTCTAAAATCAACAAAAACATGTATATTTTCTAAAAAGTGTCTTGGGCCCTGGCTGGTTTGGCTCAGTGGATAGAGCGTCAGCCTGTGGACTGAAGGGTCCCGGGTTCAATTCCAGTCAAGGGCATATGCCTGGGTTGCTGGTTCAATCCCCAGTGGGGGGCGTTCAGGAGGCAGCCAATCAATGATTCTCTCTGAAATAAATAATATATTTATTTATTTATTTATTTATTTATTTTAAAGTGTCTTGGGCCCAGCCAGCATGGCTCATGAGCATCTACCTATGAACCAGGAGGTCACAGTTCGACTCCCAGTTGGGGTACATGCCCGGGTTGCAGGCTCAATCCCCAATAGGAGGCATGGAAGAGGCAGGTGAGCAAATGGTTCTCTCTCATCATTGATGTTTCTATCTCTCCCACTCCCTTCCTCTCTGAAATCAATTAAAAAAATATATTTTTAAAAAGTATCTTGGGCCCTGGCCGGTTTGGCTCAGTGGATAGAGCGTCAGCCTGTGGACTGAAGGGTCCTGGGTTCAATTCTGGTCAGGGGCACATGCCTGGATTGTGGGCTTGATCCCCAGGAGGGGGCAGGCAAGAGGCAGCCAATCCATGATTCTCTCTCATCATTGATGTTTCTATCTCTCCCTCCCCTTCTTCTCTGAAATAAATAAAAAGATATTTTAAAAAAATAAAAAAATAAGAAGTGCCTTGGTTTACCCAGGGCCTTGGGCCACACTGGATGTCTATGCTAACAATGTGATGGACGGTGGGAGTCTTGGGCCATGAGGTAGTCTGCCCGCTGGAGGGGCTGGAGGCTGAGTAACTAGGATAGTGACACAGGTGGCCAGCCAGGCCTGCGTGACCAACCTCCAATCAAACGCTGGACAAAGCCCAGAGTGTTGTCACATATTGTTGGTGGGAGAATTACGTCCTGTCCTAGGGACAATGCTGGGAGAGGACAGTGGCAGCTCTGGCCTGGTCTCTTCTGGGCCCTGCCCCTGGCCTTTTTCCTTTGTTAACGGTGCTCTCCAGCCTTTCACTGTGTCATAAGCTACCACTTCAAGCACAACAGCTTTCTTGAGCTCTGGGAGTCCGCTAGAAAATCAATGAACCTGAGGGTGGTCTTGGGGACCCTCAGCCCAGGCAGGACCCAGGGAGGAGAAGGAGGAGGCGGCTAAGAATGTATCTTCCGCCCAGGCTGGTGTTGCTCAGTGGGTAGAGCATCGGCCTGTGGACGGAAAGGTCCTGGGATCGATTCCCGTCAAGGGCACATGCCCGGGTTGTGGGCTTGGTCCCCAGTGGGGGGTGTGCAGGAGGCAGCCAATCAATGATTCTCTCTCATCACTGCTGTTTCTATCTCCCTCTCCCTCTCCCTTCCTCTCTGAAATCAATAAAAATCTATTTTAAAAAAAAGAATTTATCTTCTGACACCACTCCCTCCTGGGTTCCACTTCTCTCTCTGAGGCTCCTTGTCCACCCTCCTCCCCAGTTCCAGGTCCCCTTCCTGATCTCAAGGCTGGCACACCCCGGGGTTCGGCTAATTCCCCTCATGGTACCCTTTGGTACCATCTAGATCCTCCCAGGCTTCCTTCTCAGCCCAGACCCCCCTCCCTTGACCTCCAGACCCCACATTCAAGTCCATCTCTCTCTCTACCTGCCTGACAGGTGGCTCCAATGCCTAAGTCCAAAGCTGACCTCTCAATGTTCCCTGCAGATCTGCCTCTCGCCCCTGCCCCGTCATCCGCATCTCCATCCTTCCGGGGAGCAGGCCAGAACCGCTGGAGGCACCCTGGACTCCTCTCTTTCCCTCGCCACCCGGCCCACACCGCCGCGTGCTCCAGCTATTACCAGCGTCTGCCCACTTTTCACCACTTCCACTGCTATTACTCTTGTCCGAGCTGCCATTACCTCTCTCCGGGACAAGCATAATAGACTCTTTACTAGGCCGCTCTGCCTCTGACAGTCTGTTCCCTCCCCGGCAGCAGCCAGAAGGATCCTGTTAACAACTAAATCAGTTCCTCCTCTGCTCAGAGCCCTCCCGCGGCTCCCAGCTCGCTTAGAGTAAAAGCGTCGTCCTCACCACGGTCCACCGGGCCAGGCGCAATTTGCCCCCACTCCTCCTCTGCTCTCATTTTCCACCTCTCTCCCCCCTCTCCCTCCCCTCCAGCTACAGCTGACCTTTTGCGGTTTCTCCAACGCCCCAGGCCCTCTCTCACCCCAGGACCTTTGCACTTGCTTTGCCTTCTGCCTGGAATGTCCTCCCCAGACATCCGTCTCGCACGCTCCTTTCTCTTCACTCAGGTCTTAGCTTGCCTGTCGCCTCCTAACCAGAGAAGCCTTCCGGGACCACCGTGTCTAAAACAGGCCCCCATCTCCTCCCGGTCCAACCTGCTTCAACCTCTGCCTCATTGATCCTCACAGCGCTTGCCACTCCGGGTATCATATTTCATATTTGCTTATCATCTCCCCAGCTGGAATGCCGGCTCCCTGAGGGCGTGGCTTTACTGGAACCGTTCCCTGCAGCACCCCCGGGGCTTAACACAGGGCCAGATTCCACGTAGGTGCTCCGAGAACTTTTGCTGAATGAAGGGATGAGCAAACAAGCATGACAGGGCAGGAGGGGCCCCGCCCTCACCTGCAGCCGGTTCAGGATTTGATGGTAGTGGAACAAGGTGCAGAGGTCCACGTGGGCAGAGAACTCCTCCAAAGCCGCCTTCTCCGCAGGACTGGAGTGGAATTCCTGTTACCTCGGGAAGCAAGACTGACCATTAGGCCTCTCTCCCCTTCCTCGTGGGAAGGAATTCTTTCCCTGGCAGCCCATACAGACAGTCAGAGCTCCGGGCTTTTTTGATTTTGTTTGGGGGAGTTGTGTCAATTTTATTGACCAAGAAACGGAGGTAGCCTGGCATAGTAAAAGAGATGGATGAGAGAGCTGAGAGTTCAAGTTCTCCCTTGGACGCTGACTCACCAACATTCACACAGTGCTTACTGTGCACCGGGCGCTGCTTGCCCACATGAGATGCAAGGGGGCCAATGGAATGATAACCCCCCTTTTTTCAGAGGGGGAAATGAGGCTCAGGGAGTCACCCGCTGAGGACCGCAATGTCTAGATCAGCGGTTCTCAACCTGTGGGTCGCCAACCTGTGGGTCGCGACCCCTTTAGGGGTCGAATGACCCTTTCACAGGGGTCACCTAAGACCATCGGAAAACACATATATAATTATATATTGTTTTTTAAAAATATATATATATTATTGATTTTTTACAGCGAGGAAGGGAGAGGGATAGAGAGTTAGAAACATCAATGAGAGAGAAGCATTGATCAGCTGCCTCCTGCACACCCACTACTGGGGATGTGCTTGCAACCAAGGTACATGCCCTTGACCAGAATCAAACCTGGGACCCTTCAGTCCCCAGGCCGACGCTCTATCCAGTGAGCCAAACCAGCTAGGGCTATATATTGCTTTTGTGATTAATCATTATGCTTTAATTATGTTCAATTTGTAACAATGAAAATACACCCTGCATATCAGATATATACATGACAATTCATAACAGTAGCAAACTTACAGTTATGAAGTAGCAACGAAAATAATTTTATGGTTGGGGGTCACCACAACATGAGGAGCTGTATTAAAGGGTCGCGGCATTAGGAAGGTTGAGAACCACTGGTCTAGATAAAGAGAGACTGAAAATCCACTCTAGGCCTGTCTGACCCCAGAGCACACTTACTTAACCAATTATGTATGCTTGTCACCTCCCTTCTTCTGCTGCAGTGCCCTCATTTATAAAATGGAGATGATGGTGGTATTATCTCTCCTATTGGGTTGTTCTGATGATTCCATACATGGGAAATGCTTAGCACAGTGCCATGTAGTAAGAGCTCACGCCGTGTTTAATAATTATGATTATGCTTTTATAGGTATAATTATTATTAGATAGCAGTAATAGTAATGATGAGGATGATGATACACATTTTGCAAAGGGAAAAACCATGCCCCAGAGAGTGCTTGTTCAAGCCCCAGAACAAGCTAGAGTCGGAATCGCTGCTACGTTTGCATCTCAGAGGTCCTCTCCCCCTCCCCTACGTTCCAATTCACTTGGCGCCCACTAGGGACTGTAAGGGGAATTGGAACTACAATTCCCAGGAGGGGCCAGGGCAGCCCTCCATAGCAGGCACGGCCCTGCCGCCGCAAGGCCTGCCGGGAGTCGTAGGCCCCGGGCGCTTGGACCCCGGACGGGCGATACCTGCATCAGGAGGCGGAGCAGCTGCTCCTTGGAGAGTGGGATGAACCGCTCCTGGTACTGCTGCGCCCAGTCGCGGGGCTCCGTGGGGTTCCACATCCTGCGGTACTCCCCCATCTTGGCCGCCAGCGAGGACAGGGCCCGGGCGGGCCCCAGGAGCGCGGGCAAGACTGGCCATCCTCGGACCCAGGATGCCCAGACCCCCCGGGTCACATGCAACATGGCCAGCCCCTGTGCCCGGAGCCTAAACGAGGGAAATGGGTAGAGGGTCAAAGGGCATCTGGTGGAAAAGCGCGCTCTCCACCTCCCTGTCTCAAACCTCCAGGAGCAGAGCCCGTCCGCCCTTCTCGCGGGTCCCCTCCCACATTGCTCCGTTGACCCTGGTCCCAGGGAAGGGTCAGAGGTCTGAGGTCCTGGGGCGTGTTGAGGGCCTAGACACCCTGGCGTGGTACAACTGGTTTCTGCGGGGTCTAGGCGATGAGGTGGATCACTGGAGCTTAGGAGAAGCTCGGAAAGGCTACCCTGAGGGTGCAGGGCCGTCCTGCCCTGGCCATGCAATCCCCCTCCCTCCCCTCACCTTAGCCAACGCTCGACTGTCATTGAGCCTCCTGCGCATGTGCAGGAAGGCTTTCAGGTCCCCCAAGATTCAGCTTCATCCAGCAGCAGGACGCATGCGCAAAACCGGGGTCCCTGAGCGCGGTCCCGTTTCTTTCCTCTGAAGCCGTCCCCACTGCGCACGAGCAATAAGCCCGCCTTCCTCCGGGACGGGCCTGGTGTTGGCGGCGCGCATGCGCAGCGGGAACGTCTCCTTGTCCCCGCGCTGCAGAGAGAAGGGGACGCAGCGGGCGCGAGACTCCCGGCAGCAAAGGGGCGGGGTCGGCCCCCTCCCGGGCCCCCCCGCGCGCAGCCCGCCAACGGCGGGAGCCCAACGTCCGCCGAGGCCACGCCCCCGCTCGCGCCCGCTCCTGAGTGGGAGGGAAAGGGGCGGGGGCGGGGCCTGGGCACAGCCAATCCGCGGCGGAGGAGCGAAAAGGCGGGAAAAAGCGGAAGCAAAAGAAGTCAGAGGTGGCGCCGGGGACCGGGATGGGGAGGGCGGGCGAGAGGAAGAGCGGGCCCCCAGGTGACGCAGGCCGGGCCTCAGAGTGGGGGTGACCCTTTCTCAGGCAGTGCCCCCCCCAGGCCCCACCACCCCCTTTTCACGTCCTTAAAGGGAAGACCCTGATTCTAAGAAGGTAACCGAGTGCCGGGGGGCTCGGCCGCCTCATTCTGAGGGGGCAGCCCCGGTCCCCACACGTCTGAGGGCCAGACCCCCCCAACTTGAGAAAACGCCCTTTTATGAAGACGGGGCTGCATTCTAGGTGCAGGCCTGTGGGCTAAGGAAATAACCCCAAGGACTAGCCTAAAACGTGCCCTGTTCTACCTTTACGGTTCTCCATTATGGGCGCTGACACCCCAAACCAGAAAGGGGTCCCCCTGGCTCAGGTCTCCCAGGTGCGACCCAGCGCCTCCACTCCCTGGAAACGCCACTGTGTCCCTCAAAGGGGTGCTGTGCTCCCCTGTCCGTGACGTGACCCCCATACCCAGCCCTCTGTCCACCCCTTCTCCCCGCCTGGGGTTTCCTCTCCAGCACCCCCTCCCTGTGCCCCCCCACACCCCCTCCCGTGGTGCCCCTGCCTCTAGAATCCTGAGGACCCCCTTACCCTGTACCCCAACTCATGGGGTCCTCGGCAAACCTCTCACCCTCCACCCCCAGCCCTGAGACCCCCCAGCAGCCCTTTCACCCCGTCCCCCAGCTCCCAAGAACCCTGCACCCCACGCAACCCCCTTCCAGGGACCCCCGGACGCCCCCTCGCCCCGTGCCTCTGGCCCTGACTGCCCCCCCACTTCTTGTCGCCGAGCAGCCGAGCCCCAGGGGGAGCCCGAAGCCCCCGGAAGCCAGCAGAGCGCCCCCGCGCCCGCCCCCCCGGGCCCCGGGAGCCCGGCGGCCGCCATGCACATCCCCGAGAGCCTGCAGGACCTGGCGGACAGCGAGGCCGTGCAGTTCCTGAAGCGGCCCAAGACGGTGGCGCGGATCTTCGCAGGGGTGAGCCCCGCCGGCGGCCCTGGGTGCGGGAAGCGGGGCTCCCCCCGCAGACACGGAGGGGCCGGACGGGCCCGAGGCAGCTGATAACGGGGTCACCTTTCCCGAGCACCTGCCCACGCTGTTCCGGGCACGTCCTGCTCTCACGGAGGAAACCGCCCTGCAGAGCAGGTGCTGGGAGACTCGTTTAAAAAAAAAAAAAAATATATATATATATATATGTAGATAGATAGATGTATATCTGTAATATTAAAAGCACAATATGCTAATTAGACCGGACCGGGCTGTGAGAGAAGCCTGGTGCTGGCAGCGGGGGAAAGGAAGGCTACTCTTTTTTAAAAGTATATGTATTTTACTGATTTTTTACAGAGAGGAAGGGAGAGGGATAGAGTTAAAAACATCGATGAGAGAGAAACATCCATCAGCTGCCTCCTGCACGCCCCCTACTGGGGATGCGCCTGCAACCACGGTACATGCCCTTGACCGGAATCGAACCCGGGACCCTTCCGTCCCCAGGCCGACGCTCTATCCGCTGAGCCACACCGGCCAGGGCAGGAAGGCCTACTCTTGTACGAATTTCATGCATCAGGCCTCTAGTATATAGACTAGGGGCCCGGTGCACAAACTCATGCACCTTGAAAGGAACTGTGGGCTGGAGGCTGTGGCGGGAACAGGGGTGCGGCTCGGCCCCTCCTCCGCGCCCCACCCCCCCATGTCCTGTCTGCCGGCAGCCCCGCTCCTGCCGCTGCGGCTCCCGCGCCCTGATGGCGCCGCCCGCACCTGCTGACAGCACGGAGGGATTGGGGCCGGCGCCAGCAGCAGGTGTGAGTGGCGGCTGCCGCCCTGATCGCCCCTCAGGAGCAGGGGGAGGTGGAGAAGCCCTGAGGGGCGCTGGCAACGGGTGTGAGCGCCAGGCAGACCTCGGCGTGTGGGAGCAAAGAATTTTTAGTCACCACCAGAGCCTTGCCCCAATGAGAGCCACCGGCACCCCGCCTTGGTCTGGCGCCCTCCCTGGTCTGTGCACGCCCCCTGGTGGCCAGCGCACGTCATAGCAACCAGGTCAGTTGTTCCGCCGTTCGGTCTATTTGCATATTAGCCTTTTATCATAAAGGATTTATTGATTTCAGAGAGGAAGGGAGATTTGAGAGAGAGAGAGAAACATCAATGTGTGTGTTTTTTGTGTGTGTGTGTGTGTGTTTTGGTTTTTTTACAGAGAGGAAGGGAGAGGGATAGAGAGTTAGAAACATCCATGGGAGAGAAACATGGATCAGCTGCCTCCTGCACGCCCCCTACTGGGGATGTGCCCGCAACCAAGGTACATGCCCTTGACCGGAATCGAACCTGGGACCCCTGAGTCTGCAGGCCGACGCTCCATCCACTGAGCCAAGCCGGTCAGGGCCAATGTGTGTTTTTTTGGAATTCATAGGCCAACACGTTTTTAAAAAAAATATCAGCCAAAACCGGTTTGGCTCAGTGGATGGAGCGTCGTCGATCTGCGGACTGAAGGGTCCCAGGTTCGATTCCGGTCGGGGGCATGTACTTGGGTTGCGGGCACATCCCCAGTGGGAGATGTGCAGGAGGCAGCTGATCGATGTTTCTGGCTCTCTGTCCCTTTCCCTTCCTCTCTGTAAAAAATCAATAAAATATATTTTAAAAAAAAAAATATCAATGATGAGAGAGCTCCCTACTGGGGACCGAGCCCACAACCTGAGCATGTGCCCTTGACCGGAATTGAACCCAGGACCGTTCAGTCTGAGGGCCCATGCTCTATCCACTGAGCCACACCGGCTAGGGCCCATGTGACTAATTGAACTTAAACTAATTAAAATCAAACGTCCTGTTCCTCAGGCACAGGGGCTGGTGGCTCGCGTCCTGGGCAGATGGAGGACATGTCCATCATGGCCCCCGGTGTTGGCCGCGGTCTGCCAGGTGCCAACGCCTGTTCATTCTCCACCTTTCAGTCGAGGGACGAGGAGAGGGGCAGGGACTGGGGCCTCGGGGAAGGGAGTGGCCCACAGAGGCGGGAAGAGAGTGTGTCACGTGGACCCGAGACACCAGATGCTGGGCGGGCACGGCGCCAGGCAAGGGCTTTAAGGGCCTGCGTTTAATCCGCACCCCGTTCCCGAAGCGTCGAGACACCTGGGCTCCAATCCGCATGCATCCCAAACTCTGCTGTGTGGCCTGGGGCCAGTCACTGCCCCTCTCTGTTCCTCTCCTCTGCCAGAGCTGGAAACTGAGGCCCAGGGAGGTGATGAGACACGATCGGGGTCATGGGAGCAGGTGGGGGGCCCTGGATCAACCCCAGGGACCGAACCCAGAGCCTCCCCTTTCGGCCCCTTCCGGAGCCTGTGGTGGGAAGAGCCCGCAGGCCCGGCTCGGCGTCCCGGCTGGGTCCCCTGCAGGTCCACGGAGGGTGACGTACGCCCCCGTGTGCCTGGTGTCATGATCCACAGCACCCCTTTTATTCTCAAAAGCACCCGGACTTGTTTGATAACGTCCTGAGTCACCTCGGCCTGTGTGACCTTGAGCAAGCGCTTGATTTCTCTGAACCTCTGCTCCCTCGTGGGTAAGACGTGGGCCCTGCTGTCCGCTCGCGGGAAGGACTGCGGTGAAAAGGAAACCGGTTACTGTCCCTCAACTGGTCAGCACGGGCCCGGCACGTGGTCAGCTTTCGTCAAATAGCGATTATTATCGGGACAAAGTATTACTTGTGAGCAAGGAGAGGAGGAGTTTTTTTTTTGGGGGGGGGGGCGGGGGCCCTAGGGTGATGGGGACTTGTGTCCACTGCCGCTCTCAGCCAGGGGAAGAGGGGAACTACGAACCCCACCTCCTAGTTCCAGGGCGTTATGACCCCCGGCTGCCCCCAGGGGAAACTGAGGCCCACGGAGATTGAGCGACTTGCCCAAGGACATCGTGCAGCTGGTGAGAGGAGCTGCACGCTCCGAACCCAGGAGGAAGGGCGGGTGGCGGGGGAGGAGGAGCCCCAGCTGGTGCGGACTGGTGTGTGTGTGGGGGGGGGGGGGGGGGAAGGGCTGCCGGCCAGAAGGTTCGGTCACAGACTTTGCCCGCTGCCTGCATCACCCTCCCTCCCTCCCAGCTCTCCTCCTTCCCCCCTGGCCTGGCTCCTCAGGAGGGACTCTCTGGGCAGCTGGCGCCTGTCTTGGCTGCCGCCTGCCAGCTGGTGCCTTAACTGATGAATCTTTGCTCCCTCCCCGGGGACCGGCCAGAGAGGGCGCGGAAGGCGGTTTGGACCCGGGCTTCCGAGATCTCGGGTCCCTCCGGCCCGGCAGAGCCACCTCCCCACGTCTCCAGGGCCACAGCCCAAGGTTTGGGGGGGTCAATGGACGGACAACCCCTCCCCCCCGCAGCTAGAAGTCAGGAGGGCTGGGTCCCCGTGCCCTCTCCCCCACGGACTGACCTCGAGAGGACCCTTGGTCCCCTCCCTGGGTGATTCCCGAGAGCCATCATCAGGGCCAGGCCCCCACCCCCGCACACCCCCTCCTCGCAGCAGCACGGACACGGACTGGGAAACTGAGGCTCCGAGAAGTGAGGGGCTTGCCCAAGGCCACGCAGCCGGCAGCGTCGGCCGTGTCTGGCTCTTTGCACGCCACCCTAACGGCTTCGATTGATCACCTGTGAGGCAGGGGTGACTTGGTACCAGCTAGCGAGTGGACCTGGCGGGAGCCTTCGGGGAGGTGAGGCAGGTAACACGGACACAGGCTCCGAAATGATGGATGGGCCTGCTGGTCCCTGGCCTGGCT